GACAGTTAATTTGTTTTGACCTGTTTACGTCGCTCTCCTTTTCGTGCCTTATTGCTCGCGACCTGTCCCTGTGTGCAGATCCTCCTGATGGCCCACGCTCTGCGGAGAATCTCTCTTTCCACGGCCCGACCCGTCGATTCACAGTTTGCCTTTGTCGCGCATAACCCAGGCTGCCCAGACACCCAGCTCTACTGCCATGTCTTTAAAGCAAGGCACGCCAGAGCAGTAAGGATTCTCCATTGTTCTGTTATAGTTAGAGCTCGCAGTAAATATGTATTTAAGGCTTTCTGTTTACTCACAAATAACAACCCTGCCGCTTTCCCATGCTGGACAGAAAGTCCTTCTGTCAAGCACAGTATATTTTAAAGTGTGTGATTAAAGGTGTTCTAACTCTGCTCACAAAAAGCAGAAACAATGACTGACTATACTTTAGCTGCAACCCCATTCAAGGTTATCTCTGTGTGCACCTATGGGCTGCTTCTGGCACTACTTGCACTGGGTGGAAGGCCTGTCCTGACTGCTTGAACGTGTGCGTTTTGTGATATCACCATGTTGCTTACCAGACATTTCAAACTATTATATGCCGAATCATTACCAGAGGTGATGATGGGCTACGACCCAGAAATCAAACAATACAAGAGGGGTTTTTTATTTTTTATTTTTTTGGTTTTTTTTTTCTTTCTTTCTTCAAAATGCATAATATGTAACTTCTCCAGACAGAGGAAGAAAATTTGACATTGTGTGTCCACTAATGGTGCACTGACCGGAGATTTGAGGCCAGACCAACACATTTTTGCTCTACTTGCCAGATTTGGCTCGCTGGGACTTCACCCTCTTCCCTGAAACAGAAGTCAACTTGAAGGAGCATTGTTTTATCTCAGTGGAGCACAGCAAAGGCACATGTGCAAGTGGTTAAAACAGAACTTCCATCAAGCGATCTAAAAAGAGTTAGCAGCATTGTGATTTTGCTTTTTACTTGTGTCGTACTTAGCAGTTTACTTCGTCTTCTTTCTATTCTCTGTTTTTCAAGTCTGTTATCATAGAAAGTTTCCAAGCTATATGTTTGCATAGTGTTGGTCCGTGCCTGAAATAATTGCAGGGTTTTGACAGTGATTCTTTAAAAGGATTAAAACGGTCACGTGTTTAAATGACGTGAGAACGAGAACAACCTTTTAAAGTTTACATTAGAGGTGTGCGTTAATGGTGTCACTGAAACTGAGTCCATATTTCCGTTCTCGTTATCTTGATAGGCAAACTATTTTAGAGCAGCCCAGAGTAGGGAAGTAATGCCGATATAATATAAAGCTAACATTTCTGTTGTTATCAGAAGCTTTTGACACATTAGAGGAAATTAAATCCAATAAATGTGGTCAGTACTGACCAGTTTGCCATGGTAACTCCAAATAAAATCCTCCAGTGTCACACAGGTTTGGACTAGAGAGTGATGGGAAATGTGCTTATTGATCTTTGATAACAAATTCCTTTCTGTGCTAAATTCAGATCTGATCCCAACCGACTGTTGTATCTTCAGAAGTCACCCTTGAAGCCAAGCTTCCTGTGTGACACAATAATAGGTGCCTCTACTGGTGGATCTGGTAGCATTCAATTGTTTTGAGCCAGTCTCACCGCATTGTAGTTAGCAGCGAGACTTGTTCCAACATGGAGAGGTCGGCAATACTATGACACTGCAGTTGCCTCATCTCTGCGAGATGCCTGTGCTTGACTAAACGGTGTCAGCTGTGGTGTTGAAGCGCTAAGCTTTTATCAGTGCCATTGTACTGTTAATAATTTACTTGATGAATGACTGCAACATGACACAGAATAACACAGTTTCAGTTTAACTGCTAGGTTTTCTGTATGCACCCTTCCTCCTTTAGGCCCAGTTCCTGAACCTGCTGCTGTGCCGCTGCTTCCAGCTGTCGTACTTGGAGAAGCATCCAGAAGAGGCCCAGATAGACTCTGCTGGCTCACTGCCTCATCGCAAGCCTTCACTGCTCAATCACGGCTTTCCTCTTAGTGTCAGCGCCCTGGTTTCATTCAGAAGAGCTCCTTTTGGTGGATTATTACCTGGCACTAAGGTTTGGCTATTCTTTTTTTTCTTTTTTTAACTTCACCCAAAATCTCATGGACTAATTTAAATGTTAGTTTGTTAGTAAATATTGCAATGGTTTTGCCTCTTTATATATTGTATTTCAATGTAAGTTTACCCATGTCTTCAAAAATTACCGCACCCAAGTTTTTGCACAGCACTGCAGTTTCAAAATGTGTGCCTCAAAATTTAAATTATCTGTACAAACTATGTGATGTTTTCTCTACAGAAAACTCCAAAGTCTTCAGATGACCAACAAAGCAGCCAAGATGAGGTCTTTCCCATCTCCTCTCCCTCCCTGATGCGCAAGAAAGTCATACGCACCAAAGTGCTGCGCTCTGGTGCTTACCGCTCCTTCACTTTCACGCCACGCAAACAGCGCACCATTCAGGATCAACTGAGTGTAACTCAAGGTGGGCCGAGTGTTCACAGAGCGCTATCGAGGTTCAAAGAATTGATTAGGTAAAGCGACTTCATCAGTATTTGGTGAAGGGCAGTCACTGCTGTGGTGTCAGGGCTTTTCTTTGTTTTTTGTTTTTTTATTTTAGTCTGCATGATGAAGTGATTTCATCTCATATGGGTAATTGTGCATTTCTACAGCGCTTACATTTTATTTCTGTTACTAATGTTCCTTTTTAAAGTTGAATATGTTTCTTTGTTTTTGAGGGGTTATTTCATCATCATCACTGCATAGCGTCCACTGAGTTGAGATCATCTGGGATGCTTCTTCCACGTCACATGGTGATGCAATATTCCACCTTTATAAAATCTAACTTTACATTATTTCTCTTATTATATCAAAACCAGAAAAGGATCTAGACAAGTTGCCAGCGAGGCGATCCCGGGCTCCAAGCTTGTCTGAAACAGAAGAGGCACTAGCTCAGGCAGTGTGGTGTTGGGCTGGTATCGCAACGTTAGTATATCGCACATCAAATACATCTTTGCATTCATAAGTGTCACTTTCCTGTTACTACATCTGTGATTTTCCTTCTTGGTATTGCAGTGAGAGCAGCTATTCACTGCTTGCAGATGATGTTCTGGGATCCTACCTTTTGTGCCAACATCCAAAAAACCCTAAATGTGGCTCTCTAATCATTCGCTTCTCCTCTGGCCCGATCACCCACCTTATTGAAAACACCCGTAAAGGGAAATTCGTGCTGGAGGTAATCCTTTTGTTGGCTCATATACATGATGTGAAAACCAGATTATGATTAAATCTAATCTCTTTCACTGGTTACTTTATTTTCACAAGCTCTTATATTTTTCATAAATGATAGAAAAGAAAGGGGGTCGTGGGGGGGGAGATATTGAAATATCTGATTTAACGTGGAAGTGCTTTAAATACGCATTCCCTATAATGGCCAGCAGAGGGCGGCAGCTCTAGTTGCAGCGACTTCCAATTAAATTGAGGTCTGTGGATAAAATTGCCCTCAACTCTTTCACTCTATGATGTCAGTAAGAAGATTTGGGGCTCAGTTGGTAGTTTCAGTTCACATTTACTGAAACATGGATTTTTTTATTTTTTTTTTACTTTTTATGAAATGTTGATATTAGGAGTGCGGTGGAGAGCAAGGGGTGTTTGTTTCCGTGTGATGTTAAAATGTTATGGTCAAAAACATTAAGCTTGAGGCTATCCTGTACATCAGGACTTTATAGTGGGTGACTTCCAAATTTTATACAGTCTGTTTTTAACTAGAGCCCTCAAGTGGCTTTTTGGAGAACTGCACTGGAGGTTTCCACTTGGCAACCACCTTAATTGACAATATTATTCTCGAAAGCCATAATAATTGTTTGTATTTGATTAGAAATGTCATAGTTGATTTCTAATCATGTGTAACTGGTGTCCTTTTTAATGAATTTATTTTTATAAATGTAGAAATGCAAGACTGAATTCAATTCCATGGCTGAGCTGATTGAGCACTACACAGAGACTGAGGACGAGCTGCCATGTCTGCTGAGCTATGCTCGGGTGAACCACTGCTATGAGTGGGAGGAAAACGTCAGCAAACAGCAGCCTGTAAAGCTTCAGCCCAAACGAAGCCGAAATTAAAAGTACCCACAGAAACGAATGGGTGTAAACCCTGGACACTGGAACATGTGGACTGCCAACCTCAGAGGGCACAAAATAAGCGACACTGATCATTTCTTTTGCACATTTATCTTTTATCTGTGTTTTGGTGCGGGAAGGTTTAACTGTAAAACAAAGTCACTGTTTAATAGTGTTGGCACTTACTGTGAACAGTATCCATTTCCTAAGAGGGTACTTGTGTGTTAAAGATATTTTGTGGTTTCTGATTTTATTATTTTTATTTCAACATAAGCTTTTAAAAATATACATTTTTATTTGTGCCTATAAAACAGAGGAGCTTTTTTTTTTTTTTTTTTTTTTTAAGACATGAAACTAAGAACCTGAATCTGTAAAGGGGAATTAATCACTGATTACTACACCTGATGGCAAAGCCACACTTTTTCTTCTTGTTTCCTCGTCTAGTAACAATGTTACTGAAATGTAAAACTTTTACTCCTTTTTACTCATATTTTTGTATGCAGTTTGTTTAGCTGATAATGTCGCATCTGTTAATATGACTAAATTTCTGTTCAGAGTTTTCATTGGTCGAGTATAAATGGTACAAAATGATTTCAATCATTCTCTGGGATTGTGGTTATCATGTTGTGTCGTCTTGACTATAGTTGATTTGTTCATAGCTTGCACACCATCTACCTGCACCCCCTACATTAGTTTCACAACAGAAGATTGTGATTATTAGCAAAACATTAAATAACAACTGAACATAACGTGCATCCGTAGTCTTTCTTTTCTCTTTAAACGTCTGTTTGCTTTATTTAAAATATGTTTTCACTTTTAGTTTCTTGACAGTAACACATGAAGCATAAAGTAGACTGTTTTTCGCCCTTTGACCTCACTCCGTCCTCCCGGAAATGGCCGCGGGTCTGGGCCTGTTACATTCCTCAGTGGTTACTTATGGTTGCTAAGCAACCTCAAACGCCTCGGGGAGAGGAACAGGACCTGAAGCGATACCTGACGAGATCCGTCCACACTGTACCTGGAGATATTTCTGCTGATCGCTTCTTACTGAACCTCACTGGAGATGTGGGCCGTTAGTCAACTGCTGCTGTCTTCTTGTTATTAAGGTGATGTTAGCCAACGAGGTCCTGCTGTCGTACTTCTAAGTAAACGTTGAGTGTTTGCGAAGGAGACCGGAGCGGCTTTGTATTTTATATTAGTTTTATCTCTTACACCTGCCAGCTGCTCGGTAGTGATTATTGAGACATGGGGTCAGAGTCGGTGAAGGTGGTGGTCAGGTGCAGGCCCCTGAATGACAGGGAGAAGGCGCTCAGCTGTAAGATGGTGCTGACCATGGACCTGCAGCGCTGCCAGTGCTTCATAGAAAAGCCAGGTGCAGTGGATGAGCCACCTAAACAGTTCACCTTTGATGGGACCTACTATATTGATCAAACAACTGAGCAGATGTACAACGAGATTGCTTATCCTTTGGTTGAGGTAAGCTTGATTTTATTACCAGCCTGCAGAGCTGGGCTCTATAAAAGAAGCACGCTTGTCACTGGACACCTTCAGCCCAACATCAGTAGCCTATATCTAATTCCTAATGAATGCAGACGTCATTGTGAATACCCTTTGCTCACCTCAAAATTAAATAAAATTAAAAATGTCACTTGTACAGGGTGTGACTGAGGGATACAATGGGACAATTTTTGCTTATGGACAAACTGGAAGTGGAAAGTCTTTCACCATGCAAGGGGTGTCTGAACCTGCAACCCAGAAGGGTGTCATCCCGCGGGCCTTTGAACACATCTTTGAGAGCATTCAGGTGTGTCTGTTGACCACAGTGATCTTGTAGCTTGCAACATGCATACGTAATATTATGCTCTTAGTTTTTGTCTAGGCTCGTCTCAGCACTGATAGAATAATTATATGTTTTATCTCGCGTGTGCAAGCTAGTGTGCAGAAAATACGAAATTCCTGGTGAGGGCCTCCTACTTGGAGATTTACAATGAAGAAATCCGAGATCTTTTGGGAAGCGATGCCAAGCAGAGATTGGAGGTGAGTCCCTGCTTTTTAGATAAACTAAACAGGCTACACTGTATCAGAAGAAGCCAAATGGATTATTGTTCTTTGGTTAGTACAGCAAGGTGAGTGTGCTGTTTTCTGCACAGTACTGTACCTGTTGCCATGGTGATTTAAACGCACAGTTGATTCCTTAAAGGTCAAGATGTTGTAACAGGGTGACAGACTAGCTGATTGTGCGTATGTGTGTGCTTTGTGTGGCTGATGAATGCCTAGCTGAAAGAGCACCCAGAGCGTGGGGTATATGTACGGGACCTTTCCATGCACACTGTGCACAGTGTGGGAGAGTGTGAAAGAATCATAGAGAAAGGCTGGAGGAACCGCGCAGTGGGCTACACGCTGATGAACAAAGACTCCTCACGCTCCCACTCAATCTTCACCATCCACCTGGAGATCTGCAGCACTGGTGAACTTATAATATCTTTGTCTTCACTATATCTGTTCAGTCTGTGCTGATATTCTTCTTTTGAATGTGATCCTCTTATATCTCCTAATGTCATCAGCACTTTACCATCAGTTATTTTTGTTCTGTGGCACTATATCTTTAAATTTGATAGTATATGAATCTCCTTGTTAATAGTTTGCATATCCTGCCTGTGCTTGCATGTAGTTTTCAAACCATTGAATAAAACATACCAGGTTAATAAAGGTAAATAATAAGGCTTTGTAACAGTGTTGAATGTTGCTTGCGTTTCCTGTGTCAACTCAAATTCTCAGATTCATCTGACCAGGACCATCTACGGGCAGGAAAACTCAACCTTGTGGACCTGGCAGGAAGTGAGCGTCAGTCTAAAACTGGTGCTACTGGCGAGCGACTCCGCGAAGCCACAAAGATCAATCTTTCCCTCTCGGCCCTGGGAAACGTCATCTCCGCCCTGGTAGATGGACGCTCCAGATACATCCCCTACAGAGACTCCAAGCTGACCAGGCTGCTGCAGGACTCTTTGGGAGGAAACACCCGCACCCTGATGATCGCCTGTCTTTCGCCCGCAGACAACAATTATGAGGAAAGCCTAAGTACACTGCGATATGCAAACCGGGCCAAGAGCATCCAGAACAGGCCTCGCATCAACGAGGACCCCAAGGATGCTCTGCTCCGAGAGTATCAGGAGGAAATCAAGAAGCTGCGGGCGCTCCTCACAGGCCAGCTGAGCACTGCTGACCTTTCAAGTAAATTTTTATAGAAAAACAGCATGCTTTTTTTTAGCTTAATATTCCTAAATCTACACATAGCCTCTTTTAGATGCAGAGAAATATTTTATTTTCTTGCATGTTGTCTTTCTTTAATTACCAGTGCTATAAAAAACCCCACTTTTATTTAAAATGCAGGTCTGCTGGCTGGTCAGTTTTCTGAGTCATCCCCTGCTGTGCCCTCAAGGCCACAGTCCACCCCCACTGAAGAAAGGAAGGAAAAGATTAAAGAGGCAAACATGGACCAATCCCACACAACAATTTATCACTTCAACTTTAAGCATGCATTGTATAAAGAGCCTGTGATTTATGATCTGTGTTCTGCTGTCTCTGCAGGAGTATGAGGAGAGGCTGGCCAAGTTGCAGGCTGAATACAATGCAGAGCAGGAATCCAAGGCGAAGCTGCAGGAGGACATCGCTGCTTTGCGTTCCTCCTATGAATCAAAACTGTCCAGTCTGGAGAAGGCCCAAGTCAGCAGGGGGAGCTCTGTCCCCAAGAATGGTAACAGAAGATCCTGTGCCAACAACAGAACAAAAGTTTTCCGCTGTTGGATTCTCCCCATGTATGCTTCTTTGTATTGTGCCGCTTCTCTACATTAGTAGGCGCCAGCTGTACATCCCAGGTTGCTTTGGAAGAACTCTGCCTGAGCACTGATCCCATATGCCACAGTACAGTTGAGGAAACCTTCCAGACTAAGGTAGTGTCCAGCCCCACTTTCCATAAAGATCACTCCTCTTCAAATCATATTCGTATCTTGAAACAAGGTGACAAGGCAATGTTATGTAGGCAAAATGTTGAATTTTATTCCCTCATGTTGGCGAGCAAGCTTTCTGAAAAAGATCCAGATAGAGCTGGACTCTTGGAGTCTTCTGATGCAACTGCACCGGGGCCTCTAGACCAGAAACACGTCCTGGAAAGGTTTGTAGGCTTCTGTTCTAATCATGGAAACTTTCCTTAACATGAACACTTCCTCAGATTCATAGCTATGATTTTATTATTATATATGATATGTCTTAATCAGCCGATCCATCTAATTTCTACTCCTTATGGGTCTGGGTTGTGAGCATTTTCAACACTGTTCACAGGATACTGAACATATTGTTATGATGGTATCTACAATCTTCTTATCACACTCCATGATGAATGTGTCATACGTATGCTTGTGGCTACAAATGGAGTGGATAATCAGATTCCAGCTGTATATTTTTCTGTATGTACTTACCCTTGCATTCTTTTACATCATTGCATTCTTCTGTGTTATTACCATAATCTGGTAATTAGCAGAACAGTTATGTTTAACATATCATACATTGATGGTTACACTAGAATAATATAGCAAGAATTATACTAAGCACGCATCTATGCGGTGTCCTTGGTGTTCAATCTTTCCTCAGACTGCAGCAGCTGGAACAGGAGGTGGTAGGAGGGGAGCAGGCCAGGAACAAAGAGCTGCAACAAAGACAGCGGCAGAGAAAAAAACTTGCTGACCAGAGAAAAGCTCAGCTTGTCCATGCTCTGTCAGAGAACAGCGAGGAGAGCGAAAATGTGCTGCTGAATGTCTACAACTCTATCCAGGAAGAAGTCCATGCCAAAAACCAAATGCTAGTCAAAGTTCAGGGCAAGGTGAGTGGAAGGGAGCTTACAGCAGGTGCAAAATGCAATCTTTCTGTTGGGAGAAAGCATATGTGTTAAGGGTTTTCTGTACATTTCAAGGAGCGATCAGAAAGTTTGGGTTATCCACCCACAGAAATCTATTTCTCCTCCCTAAGATCTCCTTTTCATGCACCCCTGCTCTTGACAAAGTTTACTCCTTAAAAGTCAAATTTTGACAACAGTGCAAGTTCACCAGAGTGGGATTGTACGTTGCGAATTCATACCACACTTTCAGACTATAAATGCATACTTGTGCGTTAACATCCTGGGGCATCTGTGGGAGAACATCCAGTGGAAAGAGCCTTAACAACAGCATCACCACACATTGAAAAGGCAACAGTTTTTCGGCCACAAAAACCCAGTCTTTGCTCACCATCTTTCCTACGACTTTGTACAATTCTCCAAAATCAAGTTAAAGTATTATAATCCCTGTTTTGAAACACTGGGCAAGATCCAACACTCATTGTAGAGGCACAAGTACAATTGACTTCCAAAATAGTGATACCAAAATAACAGCAGCGGTCTGGAGATGTATTAGAAGGTGACTTTGACTAAATTTAAATTGGGCAATTTATTAACTTTTTTAACCTGGAAAAATTAGGTTATCTCTTCAGGGATTTACTCATTTGGTGTGTTAAAACGGTTCTCTCTTTGAATGTCAAACCCTACATATGACACGTTTTTAACAAGTGGGTTTTAGCTAGTTTTCTCATGAATAACATGCTTCGTCACTGTTGCAACAGCTGAAAGCAGCCAAACTGGAGATCCGTGACCTGCAGGCAGAGTTTGAGGTGGAGAGGAATGACTACCTGGCGACTATACGCAGGCTGGAGAAGGAAGGGCAGCTCCTGCACAGCCTGCTGGAGCGTATGGTGCCTCTGGTGCGCCGTGACTGCAACTACAGCAACCTGGACCGCTTGAAGAAGGATGCTGTCTGGGACGAGGACAGCGCCACCTGGAGACTGCCAGATGTGATGGTGCAGAAAACAACACTGCCTTCAGGTGGGGTATAATATGTAAAAAAAAAAAGAAGAAAAAAAGTAAAAGCTTTTTTTTTTGGACAAAACAGTAAATCTTGTTTGTTTTGCAAATTACTTTCCTTAAATGTTTATTAATCACATTCTTTTTCTTAGCAGTGACTCCAAAAGCTTCAGCTCGCAGAGGCTCAGGTTCTGATGCTGGAGAGGCATTTATGGTGTGTTTGCATTTCATGCATAGGCTTTTACTTGACATACACACATTCTAGCAGGATTAGAGGCCATTTCTGTTTTAGCAGGTGGAGGAGGACAGGTACAAGCAAATGCTGGACAGAAGTGACAGTGAGAATATTGCCAGCAGCTACTTCAAGTCAAAGAGGGCGAGCCAGCTCCTCGGAAGTGACACCACAAAAGCCCACGGTGAGAAAAGAAACTGAGGCAGTCTAATTAGTACATATTACCAGTTAAATTAGTGAATTAGCTCTGCTGTTGAATGCTATTTCATTTTTATTTAGCAACATATTTGTATGCTGTGATCTTGTGTTTCTGCTTTTCATTAGATCCTGACTGGCAGGAACAAAAAATAATCACGTACTACACTTAATACTGTTACAGTAAACTTTTGTAATGCATTTGGGAAGCCTTTTCATTAGGTTATCTCTCTGAGCATTTTAAGTTTTGGCTTCTTTTTTTTACCTTTTTTGTATATTTTATATTTTTACTTATTGAGACCATTTAGTTTTAGATTAGTTAGATTTTTCTTCTTTTTCACTTTCTTACTTTTGTTTAGTTTTTACTGTTGTCTGTCTTTTCTCCTGCTGCCGTCCCCTCTCCTCCGCTAGTTAACGTGGCAGGCCACCTCTCCGTGAGCGGCTCTAACATGAATCTGTCTGTGAGCTCAGACGCCATCCTGCCTCGCCCCTTCCGTCTGGAGTCGCTAGATGTCCCAGTGTCCAACGGTAAAGTGAAGCGCAAAAAAAGCAAATCTCACATCCATAATGAGGCGACTTAAATGGACTGTGACCAACATATTTGCAGTTTTCTACAATGACACTTTTGATGACTCATCAAAAAATAAGTGTTGTATATGTATATCTGACTGTGAATCAGTGTATGCTTTTATGACGGCTGCTATCTAGATTTACACAGGACCCATTTATTGCCGATGTTACAAGTCCATTTGCGTCACGAGTTTTTAATTATTAATGTTAATTTTTAACTCATTGCTACCTACTGTATGATGCTTCCTCGATTTTTCTTTTCTTTTTTGCACAAGACATAATTTAATGTTTGTTTGAGTTAGGTTCGTTAATATTAAAATATTTGCATTGTAATGTTGCTGATTTCCTTTTTTTTTTACCCAGCATTTAAAATACTTGTCAAGAACAGATGACATCAAATTAACTGATGTCTCATGTGTTTAATTTCAATTACTTTACAAAAAAGCCATTAAAACTTGACTCCAGTGTATTATAAACAGTAGTAAATAATAATATCTAAAATAATATCAGCCTGCATGTCAAACTGTAGGACTCTGCTGTCACAAATGGGTCAGGAAAGCTGTTGTCAAGGCAGCAGTATGCTAGGATATGGTTATCTCATGTTACACATCATCTCTGGTCACCAGTGTGGGTTTTGGTGTGATGTTAATTAGTAGATTCTTTATCTAAATGCAAATAACATATGTGAGACAGAAAGTTGTTGTTGCAGTTTTTAATCATAAGAATTAAATATTGAAAAGTTTATTATGATGTCAGTCCTCTTAAGGTTGCAGGACATGCAGAAAAAAATGCTGTTTAACTCGATCCTTCCTGCAGCTGTGACTATCTTATTTCTCATTTTGACACTGGCTTGATTTCTTTGTCTGTTGCTTAATGTTGCTCGCAGACAACATTAAGCAACAATTAAGACACTAGCAGACAACTGTGTCCGTTTCAGAGTCTGACATCATTTATTGTGGCGACACAATAGACATAGACACCTTTTGGCAGACCTGCTGCTTTACTGAGCGATAACACAGCTCTAATATCCTTCTGCAATAATTAACCACGAGCTAATCTGGGCTCTTCAGGACCGTTGCATAACAGATATCATGCCGTTCAAATAATCCATCAGGAGAAATTAGAAGTGTGACATGTGAGTGTTACAAGAAAATAGAGACAGGGAAGTGCTGGGCTACTAAGTTTGCACAGAGGTGGAGCTAGAGATAATAGGATTATGGACGAACGGCTGAGCAGGCTTTTCCATCATCTGAGTGGTGTGTAAGATGAGCAGTATGGCTGATAGCCTTTCTGTAACAGGAGAGAGGTAAAGACTGCAGGGATACAGTCATAAAGCTTTGCCTCGGGGATCTGTGGGTTCGCTTATTAATCAAGACATTCAGGCTGAATATAGACAACCACAGCTTGGATTCCCATGTGCTGAAATGTCCTTGGGCAAGACTCTGCCATCACTGATGTGAATGAAGAGTAACAGTAGGGTTAACACTCAAAACCAACCTCATGTATAGTGTTGGTTGTTTTTGCTTTTTGAACAGAGCCAAATGGACTGGTGTAATCTGGAATGTTTATCTGCAAATATTAAGATTTTATTATTTAAAGAGGAGAAAGAATTAGGAAATGAATGCAAGTGGCCAAAATGACTTTTCCCATGAAGGTTAGTTACGCTCAGCCTTAGATACAGGTTGAGGAAGTGAGGTGTACCAGTTGAGATCATTCAGACATTATAATGCCTCCTGGACCCCTTGTTTTGGAGGTTTTCTGGATATATCCAACTGGGAAGAAACCCTGTGGAAGACACAGAGCTCACTGGAGAAATTATATACACTATATGGACAAAAGTACAGGGCCACTATAACTTATAGTGCATAATGGTAGTGCGTATCTATGACGACCAGTGCTGGCAATCTCCATCAAAACCAAATGGCTTGCCGTGAACAAAGGAACGTAGCGCTGAGAAGATGCATAATGTGAGTGTAAAACACACATACAGGAAGTACTTGGCTAAGGAAACTCATGGAGGAGGTTTGAAGCTCATTGGTGATGTTTGCACGCAACCTGCCCTAGCACTCTGTGACCTCGATCTGCAATGTAGTCTGGGGTGCTGCTATCACGGCCCAACTTCCAATAAGGAAAAAAAAGATGGCTTAAAATGCAGTATATTAGATAAAAACTTTATTTTCAGTGACATTTATATCAATGGTGGAATAGACACAAATAATTAAATGGTTGTTTTTCGTTTCATATTTTCAGTGTTACACAATGAAAGCTGTGTAACACTCTTTAATCTACTGTACACTGTAAAAAAAAAAAAACAGTAGTAGAAAGAAACTGAAGAACGACTGGTGCATGAGTTCTTGTGTTGGACATAAGTATTGAAAATTATCCCGCAAAACTTGAAAAAAAAATGCTAGAATATTAAAAGACTGCATGAACTGATCTGGTGCTTTGAGGATTTGCTCTAAGAAAAATCAACATGCAGGCACATTTGTGATTTATAAAACAATGAGTAAGATATCAGTTCTGGCACACCCTTATCCGTGTCTTTGATTTAGTACCTGTGCCAATAGCCAATAGGGTTTAAATTTTATATAACAGAATTTTGTTAGGTTTGCAATACATTAAGATACTATTTTCATACACTGATGCTCTGGATTTAGAAAATTTAAGGTGCAGTTTCTGTTACTTCTGAGTGCATTTTTAATTGTATTTTTAATAAAAAAAATGTCTTTAGATGACTATGTGTTGTATATTTTAAGTGCAGAACATAAGTGTATGGCCCTTTAAACGCTTCCTCTCCTGCTTTTATTTGACAAAGTGCCGTGTGCCAGATTTCCACTTAACGCTTTAACTCTCTTTAAGCTGATCGTGTGCTTGTGCTTCTTTCTGAGCATTGCATTTATGCCAGCAGGCATCTGCTCTTTCAGTCTTTTAGCAGTCCAAGCTTTTTGAGAGCCTCTTTTCGATCACCTCCCATCCCAGGCACCACCATCACGGTGTAGCCTACTGAGTTTGAGGTTTTCTGCGGTACTGGGGGAGCTGTTGTGGTGGTCCTGGTGGTTGTCACTGGTTTGGCTGATTTGATGCTTTGCGGTTCAGAGGTGTTTCCACTACTTCTACAGTTGTCCAGGGTGGCAGACTGCTCCAGATTAGCCGTCCTCTTCCCCTTGGATTGAGCAGGATGTGATGCAGACCCAGGCCGCTGGTCATGTTTGGTGTACTGACGCAAATTGGCACTGGTCTGCAGAGGCCTGTTATTGGACTCTTTTGGCACTTGAGCATTACAAAATGATTGGCTCCTTGATGGATTACTATTAGCTGGACCTCTTGTAAACTTGTCAGCTGTTACACCCAAGGAGGAGTTAGGTTTGGGTGTAGGCAGTGGGGTTACTTTATCATTTTCTGCATCTTGGCCTTTCAGGAGGCCCAGCTTCTGCAAAGCTTCCACTCTCACCACCTGGGGATCAGCTACATTCTTGACACTGTATGAAGAATCTGATATTATAGATTCTTCATTTTGAGTTTTTGCAGATATGTTGGTGGGAAACTTTTTGGGTTTTGGGGGAACAACTGGAGGACCTTTCTTACTCTTGGAAACCTCTGACTGGGATTTGTCTGATCTTTGGAGATTTCCAAGAGTTGGGCCTTCCACCGGGGCAGAATGGCATTTTTCCGAGTCTATAGTATGATCAACTGTTGGGCATAAAGGGGTCTTCTTTGTGGAGGCACTCCTCCGCAAATGTACAAGTGCGTCGTAGGAGAGAGGTCCTCTAGGTAAAGGACCCTCAGCTGTCCTCACTGAGGGTTTTGTGGAAGGAGGTATAACATTAGCCTCTGAAGATGTTGGGCGAAAAACTGCTTTCTGGTTGTCTTTGTATCCTGGTTTGTTGCTTTTAGATGTAAACTGAGGCTTAGAGGAGGCGGTTTTGACTGCAGGAGTGCCTGGTTTAGTACCGAGTACAGAACAGGAAGTACTGCTTGCAACAAGAAGAGGGGTGGGAACCAGGTAGCTGTGCATGGGCCTGGCATCAAAATTTTTGTTGATTGGTTTCTGGTGATTGGTTGATGTCTGTGAATCTGGAAGTCAAACAAGTACACATTTATCACTAGAAATTCTGTACACCTACCTAGAGCATTTCACTAAATAATGTGTCACTAATTCTGCATCTGTTCCCAGAGATTAACTCACCATCAAGGTTGCTTTTGCTCATGGAAGCTGACAGATTAGCCACTTTAGTAGCAAGGTTGCTGGAGCTGGGCAGTTGTTCAGGCTCGTCATTGGAGACTCCGCTGTCCTCCTCAGTATCCAAAGACTCAATAGTCTCCTCCAAAAACATGAGACAGGCCCTCTCCTCAGCAGACAAGTGCTCCAGACTATCATCACTCTGAAACGCATTAAAACAGGGCTTTCATTTAGAAAAGAAATCCACAATGAGAGATAGAAATCCTCTCTAAGAAAAGAAATAGACTTTTAGCTTTTATGTTACAGCTCTGTTACAAGTATCGTTTTGCCTCACTACTTCAAGTTGTTTCGTATATGTTTTGTGCTATTACTAGTGTACATATTCTTAGATTGAAGAGGGTAAACTTGGTTACTTACGAAGCCAGAATTAACACTGACCACACTGTCACAGCTGCCAGCACTCTCCATGCCATTCATTGTCTCCATTCCGGTGTCACCTGGCCAGGTATCACTTATGGGCATCTTAGTGCCCTACTTATCCACAGTTAGTGACACACCCTGTTGTTTCAATCTGAAATACAGAATAAAATTACTATTGAAACTGTTCTTAGCAAAGTAAAAGATTTATTTTTTTAAAAAAAAAGGGATATATTAATTATTCTCCACATTTTCCCCTGCTATTAATTCTTTATGGCCCTGTAGACCATTTTCAACAGCACCATAGAAAACACTGTCCTTCATAAGTATCTCCCTTACAAGGTTTTACCCCATAGATGCATTTGTGTTACCTAGTTTTAACCTTTTGTAGGAATTTCTTAACAGCGTATAAAGGTATCATTTGACAAATGAGTAAGGATGTTTTTCGATATCTTTTGTTTTATAATTCATAAAAAATCAACCAAATTGTTGAATAGAAAGCAAAATAGGTCATATTCGACGCTGTGATAATGATACATCAATGCTAATGACAATCATAGGCGCAGCTTAAACTTTTCCTGCAAAACAAATAAAATCAGGAAATATAAGTCAATCCATTTTAAACGCAAACAGCACAGCATTGACCATTGGGTCTGACCACGTTTCATGTAATTTCTATGTGCTCACATTGTCTGCTAACTGTAAAGGAATTTATTCTCTGGTATGTTGATAAAAAATAATTAAACATCTGTGCAGCGTGACATCAACTAAGCGGCACATCTTCCAGATATGAAAGACAGTTTTATCTATAAATGGCAATCAGCACCAAAGGACTGTGTTCATATCCAGATCACTATTGCTAACTACCTTTTAAAACAGTCAACTATAAAAATAAGCGAAGCGTACAGCTTCATCAATCAGAGATGAAAATTAGTCTGTGGTTATTTGAATGATATTGGTCTTATAACAGTATAACTGTAATCCTGTGTGTACACTATGGTTGAGTTGATGTTAGGTATTTGAGTCAAAACTGATAGATAACATTGTGCACAGAAAATGTATATAAACTTTATAATATCCAAATATGACCTGCATAACTGTGGACTTCATACCTGATCATGCAGCTAAAGAACAGCAAGGGCACAGCTTTATTGTAAGCACTGAAATTGACAAATGCAGGTTATCATAGCTCGGTGAGCTTCTAGCAGATATCTAACTAGTCCTCTTACTACATGTGACTTGGATTACAACCTGCATGCCACTCCTAATCTCTCTTTACCGGATCAATTTCAGAGGGAGTGGAAGGCAGAAGCAATCAGTCTCCTGAAGGCTATATGACACCTGTTTTAAAAAAAGCAGTTTCAGCTTTGTATTTGGAAATTTTGTTCAATGTTTCGTTTATATGGGTATAGTAGCGTAGCTGCAATTTGAGAATAAAGGAAGTCCTGTCTGGACCTGGTGAAAAGAAATTCACTTTTGGATAAGTGTCAACACCTGAGATGCAAGGTCTGCCAAATAGGGCAGTGGAGGCACAAAAGCACTCCTGTCCACTGTTCGTGGTTGGCCATGCCATCACATCCCTTTAAAATTGTAAAAATCCCTATGGCCAGATCAGTACGCAAAGTCCCAGGTCAGGATATGAATCTGAACAATGTAAGCTCAGTGTTAACGTTTATTGTGGCTTGAAAAACCTTTTCACATTTGTCGTTTTCATCTGCTTATTAGGTCCCAGTCACTCTGCTATAACCCTTACTCTGAAAAAAACAAAACAAATCATACTGTAGATAGATATGAACCCGAAGAACATTTAACAAAGTGTTATCTCTTTAAGTGAGTTACACCTATCCTATCAACAGTAGGCAAAAACAAAAACTGGGCGAGTTTAGCTATCACAAGACTATGATGCACAAGTCAAAGCAATAAACTGCTGTGTCAGATTCTTTGGAAAATGTGGTGCAATGACAGCGTTGTTTTCATTGTGGCTGTAAAAGAGCATCTGGCTAAGTTTTTATTACCTTCGATGAATTCTGTGCAGGACGTTGTGTAATAGGGGTTATTATCATTTTCTCCACTGTACCCAGGCTTCAACCCACTTCCTTCACATTAATTACTGAATCCAAGCCTATCTTTTGTAACTAACATTATTAGCCCCAAACCGCCATAAAACCCCTTCACCGAAAAGTGTTTAAATACCGGTTAAGTTTAAGTCTAACACTTGACAAACAAAACAAAACATAAATTAACTGGCACGAGCAGTAAATTATTTAAATAGCATCCAATAAATGAAAAATATGCTAACTGTTCCTTACCCTATTTACAACAGAGCTTTAGTTTTTAAGTAAATATAGGCGTACCTGTCCGTGCACGGTCGTCTCTCATATCCTGCTCCGCGTGCAACTGAAGTCAAGGTGAGCGCGCAACTCAGAGACACCTGGAAGAGGGACTTTGTCCCTTAAGCTTCTAGCCAATCAGAAGCCACATCCTCCTTAAGCCCCGCGAGTCCTCGTTTTCATTTTTTTTTTAAACAAACAAACGTAAACCATTGCTGTCTCTGTCTGTCAGACGTATGCTGCCAGGACGGCTCGTTACTGGAAGTAATTCAAACATTTAATGCTCTTCCTCCATGTATATATGTATTAAAGTATTCTTTATGTTTTTATTTTTTGGGCGTCAGGCTTTGGGTGAGCATTTAGGAAATATCCTCTAAAAAGTGTTGACTAAAAAGAGCGCTTCACATATTTTTTCAGTTAACTTTATTATTGTTATTATTATTGTCGTTCTTCTCCTTAATTATTATTAATGTATTTATTGGGAAAGAGAACAGGTGCTGTTTACTACAGTGCTGATTCAAACAGCACAGACGATGCATAGCTAGAAAGTTACATTTCACTGATACTGCACGAGTGATCTAGGTGGGTGGGTGTCGGTGGGGTGGTACTACGTGATTTTAAGTAATTAAGTGATGCAGTTAATCATTACTTGTTCATGCAGCAGTACACCACCTTCAAGCTTTACAAAGGGTCGCTACAGCGTTTAGCTCAGAGGCTATACCACCTTAAAGGCATCCTAAAGGGGCTTCCTATAGTGTCGTGGTTTAACACCCACGGTTCGATCCTGGAAGACACAACCAGGTTAAAATTTAAATGGTAAATTGGTAAATGGTAAATTTACCATTTAAAATTTGCCAAACCAAATACGCAAATACTTCCGAGCCCAATCCATTCAGTTCACTTGCTAATTAAGAAAAAGTTGCAAATTGAGCATGTAGGAACTGGGGAGTGAACAATTTAAGTGTAATCAAAAACTGTTGCCAATTAGTTTAACAAATTAAAAAAAAAAAGTCTATTTATGCAAGCGCTAACGCACATTAGTTACCTTATTTGCTAACAAAGCTCAGATGTGGGACACAGCCAAAATCTCACTGCAAGCTGAAGTTAGAATTTCAGCTGGTGTTAACTTCCGTAAGTGGAGTGATTTTTTTTCCCTTCTTTTTTTTGGTAGCTGTTGTTTCAGGGGGGGGGAAAAAAGTGCTACACTGAACCAGTACATTTCTGATTCCTGCATGAATTGCATCCTTTATGCAAGTCTTGAAACTCACATAAACCAAAATAAGAAACTGTGAAGCTGTAAATGGGGTGTTGTATATGAAATATTTGTAGAGTTAAAGAGGTTTGTAGTGTTTTATGAAACATTAAAATATCACATTATTTAAAAGAAAAACACAAAAACTAATTCCTAGGCTGTGTGTGAGCTTTGTGTTTTGTAGCAGTGGTAGCTGCTACTGTTGGTCAAACAGTAAGTAAATTAATCCTAAATCCTATTATGAAAGGGTAGATGTTCCTTAAAATAACATGCGGGTAGTGTAATCCGACAATGATGGCACAGGACTAGGGTAAATTTGCCAGTTGGGATTTATTTTTAGTAGCAATGCACTAGATAAAGTCATAAGATAATAGAGTTGTCACAGTAATATCACAATAATTATTAATTAGCATTATCTATGTTACTTCCCATTTGTATTTATGTACAAAAAGATTCTAACCTTTAAATTTCACACTGCTTCTTTGTCCCCCTGCATCAAACCATTTAAAGAAAAATAGCTTAAAGATTTATTTAATACCCATTAAAGCATGGCAGCAACAAAGTATCATCTCAGCTTGACCTTTCTCACAAGGGAAACTGAAAACTATTTAACTCTTTGTTAGTTTGTTTTACCTTGTTCTTCAAGCACTGCAGAATTTCAAATCATTTAGCCATGAGTAAACCCAGTATAGTTAACACAAAACAACTTTTACACATCCTATTTGCTATATTTTTTAATTGACAACACTGAAAAGAAAAAAAAAAACAATCAAGTAAATCCAGTTTATTCTGTAGTGCTTTGTGTGCAACATTCACTGTTATTGTTAATCATGAGAACATAACAAATACAAAATGCAACAAAGCCATTTCATGGTTTTATCAAGTTGATTATTCAGTTTTTGCCAGCGTTTAAAATACCTAAGGTAGATGATGAGGTGGGATAAGGGGGGGGGGAAAAATACAAAAAGTTGTTTTGTTTTTTTTGCTTTCTTTAATTGATTACCGTCACCATCCGAATCTGAACCAAAGTCAAAGTCCAGTCAAGGCTCCACTGTGGAGCTTTTGGCAACAATTCTGCAATCAAAGACCCGTCAAACACCATGTTTTGCCACAATGAGAACTAACCACAGTTATCAATCTCAAATCTTTGACTTTAAGTTAAATACAAGTGCTTTCTTCATCCTTATAGCCAGTGTATGTCAAAGAAATTAGCAAAGAGATAATGGATGATTAGCTTAAAATGTGAGAACAGACTCCTGTTGTGGGGGAAGAAAATAATTCATACAGTGAAACAGGAGTGGCAGTTTTTATAAAACATACAAAACACAGTAAACTAAATGTACCTTTACTTGTAATACATCCACCCAGAGCTATAAATGTAAGATGGAAATATTTGATGTTGATTAGCAAAGGACATTATGAGCAGCCTTTAAAAAGAAAAAAGATCTTAAAATACTGTATGCCTTACCTTGATTTGTTACAAATATAATGCTTGAATGGTTTTTCAAAGTATGCAGTCTAATTTAAACAACAAAAAACAGTTCTTACAGCATTTCAAACTTGTGCACTACAAAAAAACAAAGACAAGAAAAACACTCATCAAAACCTGCAGCACAAATATAGAAAAATGAGCTACAGATTTTGTAACGCGTTTTGTTTACAGCACCATAATTTTTTTTGCCTTATTTAGTCAAGCCCACTCACAATCAATGTTGCAACCCCCCCAGAAAAAGACCCGCCCCCCAAACAAAATAAAGGCCAATTTTGCACTTGCAGTATGATACTGTATTCAAAATTCATACCACCATTGATCTTGTTGACCAGAGCTCAAATTCACCCCCCCCCCCAAAAAAAACCCCCAAAAAACAAAAACAAAACCCCAGTGTAACTTTGAGCTTAATAATCAAGGGACAAATCATTGCATTTAATGTCTACGATGGACGCAGAGTAACAGAGAGATGCATTGGTGTCTGCAATGAGTTATCTGTTTGTTACGCAATCAGAACAAGCTGTGGCCTATGAAAGCTCAGATTTTTTTACCTACATTTTGATACCTGGATCTTCTTTTAGTCGTCATATCTTATATGAATGATCCATAATTATGCTAAAGTTATTGTACAAAACAAACAAACAAACAAAAACAATGGATACTGAGGAGGTTAGAAGTGTGTCTGATTGATTTTTCATCAAGTAATCCTTTAGAAGAATCCTGCTTAGCATTAACTCAGGCCGCCTATATTGAACAGTTCAGATGTTTAAATTTAAGGAAATTAGTGGAAGAATTACTTACATCTGCCCCCAAAGTAATAAAAACATGCTACATAACCAACATGATAAATAACAGTCAAGCTTGCTGTGCCGTGTTTAAGACAAAAGTGAATGTGATCACATAACTGTGCAAATAATTCTTAGTGACCATTTTAAAATTCTTTGTTCGCACATCTTTGTTTCGTCAAGGGTAAGTTCTGCCAATTTGCTGCATCGATAACACATCCTAAACTGTTTGGTTTATGAACTTGTCCATGAGTGTTCTTAACAGATCGAAACAACAACTAAGAATTTTTTGCATCCTGACCCAGTTTAAAGAGATCTGAATATTATGGTTTCTAACACTGGAGCACTGCAGTAGCATTTCTGACTGTAAGAACTGACAGTAGTTAAAAAGTAATACTGAACAGGTAAGAGGCGGAACACAGTACCTGCAGAATCTCCAAAGATGTTGCCAAATAATGTGAGGTAGAGGATCACAAAAGCAGACAGACCCACAGAGTTGCCAGACGCAGGGCATGGGGGTTGGTGGTTGTTGTATTTGTGAGAGAGGAAAAAGACAGCAAGACTTTCACACTTCACCAAAATTAGCGTGGCCTGTCTCCTTGGCATGCTCACGAGCTTCCTTTTGTCCCACCAAGCCTGTCTGACACACCATGCAGCGCAAGGCAAAGCGGTTAACGTCTGTGAACTGGCGCTTGCGGCGAGCCTCGTCTGCCAGCTCGAGGGCCTGGGCCAGGATTACGTCGTCTGTAGTCGAGAAGATAGTCTGGGGCGGGGTGTCGGATCCGGGGATCTCTTTCTGCAGCGGGTCGTAGTGGATGCCATCATAGATCAGCAACACGCGTTTGTGGTAGCCAGCATCCTCTCCAAATCTGTCTACTCGCACTGTCTGAGTATCCACTACGCAGATCTCACACTGGTAGAACTTAGACATGATGGATACCTCGATGGCTCCTCCCCAAGTGTCATCACGTCTTATCCAGGTGCAGTACTCCTCATTGGTTTTCCCCAGCACCGCTTCAGAGTAAGCTGTGGGGTCACTCGAGACTATCTGGGCAATGAGACCTCTCATTTCAGGGGCACAGGCGGGGTCGTATACGCCGCCTTCCACCACATAATAAACACTGGTGAAGAGGCAGGAGTTATCAGCTGGGACCACTCGGCGTGCCAGCATAGGTGAACCTTCGAGGTTAGGTCCTTTCGTTACAGCGGGACGATCCTGAGGCTTTGGCTTGTTTTTTTCCTCCTCAACGATGAGTGTGTCTCCTGTAGAGGACGACACACCAATGACAACACTTTTCATCCCAGTCAGACTTTGGTTTAGAAAAGGAAGAAGAAAACACATTGCCTTATGTATATCTGTCTGAATGGTACCTGATTATGTTGCACAGATGTCCCTAAAATGTCTATTGCATGCAAATAAATCAAAGACTCAGTAACTCAAAAAGTTCTGCTTCTAATATTTCTGACCACATCCCAAAACGTTCCTTTTATTATAAGCAATTAAAAGTTGAAGTTATAAAGACTGCTTATTCTAAAATCATACTTAAATTTTAACCTGTCCTCACAGGTATATAAATTCTTGTATATACCCAGGGTGCCAAATGTGCAGCCTCCATACAATACAATTATATCCGGCCCGTGAGATAATTTCATATGTCAATTATTAAAAGTCCCCTTGGTATGTGGGAGTTGAATCTTCAACCCTGCTGAGAATCCATGCAGACAGGGGTGAGACTATTTTGATGGGCACACCATGCGGCCAATCACATGCAAAGACAGACTGGGATCATACCATTATGTGAAGGAAGGGGGCAAACCTTCCAAAGACAGCAAGTGTAGCGTACAGGTACATTTCAATGATATTGGAGACTTCAAAGCTGAGTGCAGAACTTATAAGATTCGGGGAAGCCTAAAGTGATACTCGTTTTTATTTTCAGTCATTTTCCACTGTGGAGGACAAAAAGTTTCAAACTTGCCCAGGGCTTAAAACTTGTGTGTTTTCTCCCTAGTAGTAGCAAATGCATAAAAATAAGGCTTTTAGGAAAAATTGCTTCCTTGAAAAAGACTAACTTTACAGTACAGTGATGAATATTACATAAAATAAACTCTATATAAAGCCTCACAGGCCTGAATGTGCACTTGAAGCCATTTATAATTTTTAATATGTTTGATCAGCTGCTCACCACAAACAAGCATAAGCATACATTTTGGACTTTTAACTGTATTTCCATAAATTTTACAGCTTTTCCTACTGATCAAAAACCTCCCTTATGGCTATTCATAGGAAAAGTAACATACAACTCAACAACCACTGAACAGCTAAAACAGCAGGTAAACTGATTCTGCAAAAAGAAATGCAGAGCATGGATCCCCACATTCACCCGAAACCGCACTTCCAAAGAAATTTCAACAAGAAAAACCTTTAAATATGTAACTTCTTTACATTGACAGAAAGGAGCAGTTTCACTGGTCTGGCCTGCTTACGATCAAAGTGGGCCGTGATGTAAAATGAGTTTGACACCTCTGCACTAGAGCATGTAATTAAAAGTTTTTAATTTGGTCCATGTTTTCTGCACATGTTGGATGACTGCCATCATACCTGATTTGATAGGGTAGTCCTTGAGGTGAGCCTCTCCGTTCCGAAGATCAAGGCTGGAGGGTGGGTATCCGACCATTATTTTCTGCACATCACAGGGGATACCAGTCAGCTCCTCCACCTTGCGCTTCAGCTCCTGCACGCAGGACTGATGAGTCAAGCCATGCATCAAGTGGCTCCCATTTTTGGTCTTACAGCGAAGCCGCAACATCCTGCCTGCAAAAAACGTGATATCACATTAGTGACACTGCAAGTACCAGGTAAGAACTTTGTTAATCCACAATGGTTGTGTAGAGAGCATTAGATATATTCCACATGTATGTTACAGATGAAGACCATTTCTAACATGTTGGAGTGCTAGACTGCTGCATACAGTGTTAAACCTGCGAATTCTGGCATCCTGTCCAGGGTAGGCCTGTGCGATATGACCAAAATCTCATATCCCGATATAAGAATTCTATCATCCGATAACGATATAAATCACAAAAATGTAACATTTTCTGTAAATTCTGTGAATCTCGGGCAGCTCAACTTGCGGGAAGGGTTTCCAGCTGTGCGTCATGTAGCTGGAGTCCAGTATTTTAACAGATGCATGAAACTATACATTTTTAGACATAAGTTGTAACGGCCGCCGTTTTCTTTGTGAGTATTTATTACACTGCGTGCTGCGGAGGAAAGCCTGTTCTAACGTTTGAGTGTAAGGTTTATTTTTTAGCACCTGGCGGCTCTTTTTTACTTCTCATCCGTAAATAATCTGCTCTTTCACGTGATTCAGTTTATTTTGAAAAGTCTCAACAGGATCTTGAGCTTTATTGTGAAAGGTTTATGTGGAACATAAACAAACGGACACGCGATGGCGTTACCGTCATTGTTGCTAACCACAACGCATAAAAACAGGCGCTTGTCCGTCTGTAGTGTGGTTATATAAAATATAAGAGAAAGAGAACTTTAAGAAATTAATATAGCCACTACAGTGACCATCAAAGCGATGAAAAAATATTGCCGTAAACAGTTTATTTTGCGACACCATGAAACAAACATAGCATAAAATGAAACTAGACTTTTTTATATCGTCATCCGATATATATCGTCATATCGAACAGCCCTAGTCCAGGGTGTACCCTGCTTCTCGCCCGAGTAACCAGGGAGCAAGCTCCGGATGTAGACCAGGTCATCCACCAATTGCAAGGTTGGTGGTTCGAATCCTTGGCTAGTCCAGCCTGCATGTTAAAGTATTCTTGGGCAAGATACTGACCTCCAAGTTCCTCTCAGCTTCATCCATCAGAGTATTAATTTAGTTAGAAACCACTTAGGGACAGAAATAAGTGCTTGTGTGAATGAGGCATGTTGTATAGAGTAGAAAAGTGTTATAAGAACCAGTCCATTTAGCATTTTTAAACATACAAATTTAACTGGGGGACATAAGCAGTCCTCTTCAGAAAGCAGGACCGTTTGTTGGAGTGTCTCACTAACAGGGTGACTGACACAAACTACAAGGTAGTGAAGCTTACTGCCAACAAAAAAACAAAAAGTAGGTAGGTGCCATGTGAGGTCCAGCTGCTGCAAATATACCCTCAAACTATCAAGTGTCCATTTATTACGAGTGGGAAATTCCAAACTCAAATGCTCACTGTGGGATAAGTAGTTTTCCCCAATCTGAATCTGTGTCTTCGAAGCCATTTCCCCGATGGGACTACAAGTGTGCCAATGTTGGCTCTTTAACTGATTTTAACATCGAAATCCTGCACTCACGTTGTTCGCCAATTTAATGGCTAATGAGGAAGGGACGTGTTTTGAGTCATACTGCAGCTGTAAGCTATATTAAGTTGAAAACGTAATATATTTGTTGGGCAATGCTACAGATAAGACTTTATGACTGGATAACCTACATTGTGCTCGTAGTTACATCATAATGCTGCCAACTAAACGGGCCACGCATAACAACTGAAGTGCTGATGAACAGAGTAAAAACACCTGACAGCGACATTGCTTTGTTTTGGTGTCTTTGTTCTGGCAGTTAACACATCACTCAACAGCAACACAAACGCAGGGTAAAAAACCCCCAACCCAAAACATAAAGAGAGTCCAGTTTTTGAAAATGTAAGAAATTCGCCTCTTATTATCCATCAAAAACTGTCGGGTTGTCAGCGATAATTACTCTGAGACTGAATGAAAGGAGTTCAATTCATTTCTGCTAGCTAACCGTACCGTGTACTGTCTGCTAACGTTAGCATGCTAATCTGCTCGTTAACTTGGTCTTAATTGAACCGTTTTTCCAGGAATTTAGCTTAACCATTTAGAAAATCTGTTGCTTTCCGGTGACAAGTCTAACGACGACAAGGAGTACAAAATGATACGACAGCGAGACCAATTATTTTGCTGTCTTACCGTCTTACTACACTCCCTGCTCGCCACAGTGGGACGTATAGTACGTCAAAGCACGTGTAAATGACGCGATCACGCACTAGTGGCACGGTTTACGTACGTCTGCCTGGCGTACGCTGGAGAAGACTGTTATTTCGAAAACACCTTTTTGTCATTAAGCTCCTTTTCTGTATTGACATTTAATCAACAATCATTTGATTTTAAAACCAGTGCAGCCTATGACTGCGCAGTGTAGCTTCTTACAGTTCGACTTAGATTAGATTTTGAACCGCCGATCTTCTTGGATTAAGTCTTAAAGGCTGTAGTTATTTTATCCTAATCCACAAGTGTACTGAGCCACTCCACATTTCTTTATCATTTGCTAGGAAAAATTGTGTAGTCATATATCGATATGTGCAAACATACATAGAAATAGAGTATATAACACAAGGTTTTTAGTGTTGTATATTATGGTTTGTACAATTCTAACGAGCTTGAAAGTGAATATTATGTATGAGCAACTTTATTCTTCAACACAGTTTGAACTTAGGCAGATTTTATGTAATTTCTTCAAGTTGTCTGCAGGAATAGTTCTCCAAGACCGTTAAAGGACATTCTAAAGCTCTTCTATGGATGCTGGTTTTAGTGCAATTTCACATACCTCACCCTTTTTTCATGTTGGCATCTTGACAGCTACCACTGAGACCATTTCTGATGAGGCTTCAGTGAACAGTAGATGCATCAAGTGAAGGGACAGATACACCTTTCAGGTCTTGTGTCAAACCATTGCTGGACACCCACCTCCAATTTCTTAATGACCTATCTTTCAGGTACTGTTCATTTACTCCAGATATTTTTGTGAGCCTGCCACTTCTTCTTTTCTCCTCTACTTGTCCAGTTTTCTCAAATTGCATTGCAAACAGTGCTGAGATATGCAACTTTTTTTTTTTTTTTAGCTAATTGCGTTCTGGGATTTAGCTTGTTGGTGCAAAAATACTGCTTTGTGCCTGTGAAACTAACAACTTTTGTAACTTCAGCTAAAGAAATGAGAACAAATAATGTTTTTATGACATGCTGCTACTAACAAAGTGCCTAAACATGCATGTTTTCTTTGATAAACCTAATATGTGTACACACAACAGTGTTTCATCCCTTGATTTATGTTTCTTTTTTTCATGTATAAATTATATAATAATACATGAGAAAAAAAGGTTGACAAAAAATGGCTAGATTAAAAAAAAGAAGAAGACTGGACTGAAAAGGAGTAAAAAATCAGCCAGTGTCTAAAGAAAAGCTTTGAAGGACCCTCAGAAAACCTGGAGAATGACTTCTCAAGACCACTTTAAACACAAATCTGAGTCGCCCCAGAGTTTATTACAAAATAAAAATAAACTCTGGGGTGGCTCAGGACTTTTGTACAGTACTGTAGATATTAGATATAAGAATTTAGAAACCAGGGTAGCTAAAGTATATACACAGTATATACACACACAAAAAAAAGAAACAAAAAGATTGTACTGTGAGGCTAAAATCAGCCTTTGCAATTGATATCCTGGATGCATCTTAGGCCTAATATGTATAAATAATTTATATTAAACACGATCATAAAAAAACATAAGACACATCTTGGGAGAAACTTGAATAACGTCTCCTGAAAAACGACATAAGCTGCAAAGTTTAATGTTTAATTCTTTCCCTTTTTCAAAGCATCAATAAAAAAAGCAAAATGCAAGCCACTTCAAAATGTACTTTTAATGTCTGCTTAAAAGGCACAGTAGGCAGCTTTGAGCAGGACAACAATTTAACAACAAACATTACAGAATCATAAACTAAAACTTTGATCTATCATATAAAATCTAAAAAATTTGCTCCAGGAACAAAATACATTTGCATAAAACAAATAAAACACATTCACAGCCGGTATAATGACATGAACACAAATAGGGAGACAGCTTAAAGTTTGGCTGTTTAGTTTTACTACATAAAATCCTTCTACAGAATATATCGGTATGATGAAAAAAAAAACAAAGAAACATTTAGGTTGTAGTGTCAAATGTGATTGAATGTGAACACCTGCTTAACAGATAAGGTACCTACTGCTGGTATATAGTGCTGGTAAATCCAGCAATTTAGTGTATTTTCACTGCTTTCAGAACAGGCAGATCTAAATAAACTACTTTTATTTTCTAGAGACCATAACTAGCACATTCTGTCAAATTAAGACATAAATTATGGCTTAGGAACAAATTTGACAAGATTCCCAACTATAGATTGTTTATTTATAGCATATTAGTGTTTGATATGCATAGAAAATATAACAGAATCTATTTTTTCTAAATCTAACTGTGTAAATTGATTTCCATCATTCCAATGGATAACTTATTCCTATTACATTCAGTGACATATGGAGGATCTAATTCTATCAGTATATCTAAAGTTCAGTAAGGCATTGCAGCATTTATATTGAGTTTTTTGTCATTCCTGTGATATAGTATGTTGTGTGCGTTTACTGGTTTCTTTATGTGCGCATGCAGAAGTATTTATGACACCAATGATAAGGCTTCCTGTTCAAAGCCTCGGCATGCAGAGACGAGATGGAGACCTTGAGATAACTAGAACTATGTTACCTCATGCAGAAGCGGCCCGCTTTTCAAAAGAAACACTCGATTGACTCGTGACTCGATTCAGAAGTTGTCCACACTGTGGCAAGAGTAAAAGAGGAAAGAAGATGTGATCTTCACTCAGAAGCGGACACAGCCACTAGTTTCTTCTGAGCTGTCAACGTCGCTTCCTTCGCACAGGGACTCCTTCAAGAAACGAAAAGAAAAAAAAACCCTCAGTGACATTCACAAGTCAGTTTTCTGCAGCAGCACATTCTCAACTAATGAGCCACTAACAGCGACATAGTCCAGAAGTTGTGTTTTGAGACAGCTCCATTAGTATTTTATCAATATCTAATTAAGGTTTAATTATATAGTGCGTTTCTAAAGTATAATCTTATATACTCAACAAACACCACTGGATTTTCATGATATAATACATGTTGAATAATCGTCTTCCATTAGTTTTAATAAAATTGACTGCATCTATTAAAATACCAAAGAATCAGTATATGACAAAGTGTTTCTGATAAGGTCGCTGTGATGAAACAAAGCTGATATCAACTTTCACTGTGCAAAGGTAATGGAAGATTAGAGAACCCAAAGACTGATAACCACAAAGAATAGACCACTGCGGCAACATATACCGATATGGGTTACAATGAAATGAGTTGAAATACGGCAATCAAAGGTTGACAACAAGTTTCCAAAAATACTTACAGACAGCTGCCTCCTATCCGAGTCTGTAAAGACGGGGTTGGAGCAAGAGAAGGAAGGGAGAGAGAGAAAGACAGATAGAAATGTGGAGAGGGACTGAAGCACTACACCCACAACGCAAGGCCAACAAGTACACAACACATACAAATATGAATATGCATTTTAAAATGTTAACATTTTTAAACTGAAGTGGTTAATGTATTTGGGGGAATAAATTATATTTTTTAGCAGAAAGCTGACATTTCACAGATTATTTTGGGGTTTTAATCAAACTGAATCATCACTTTGGGTTTTTTAACAGTTATGAGATGATTAGAATGTGCGTCTGTCTCTCTGATGTTTGTGTGTCTTTTTCTTAACTCCACAAGGAGCTTTCCTTAGTAAAGAGTAGACATGCTGTTCTGCATATTCAAGCTGTCAGCAGCCTGGCGGTGAGGCAGACGTCATGCAGCACAAACATATGACAGAAACAACATTTGAAGAAAGGAGCAATCCATTCAAGACCCAAAACATGCCCTGAGAGGAGAAGATAGATGGTGGAGGTGGATGTCATGTATGCTGATTGCAACACAGACACCAAAATTATCAAGAGGATCCAAAACTGAGGTGAGAAAATGCCAAACACATGATTACAACTGTGGCGGGACCAATTACGGAAAGACGGTGTGATTTAGAGGGGGATCCTTTAACTATCTCACTAACTTGGCTTTGCCGTTCCTCTGGCATCAAAGCGGATGGGGTGGGGGCAAGCGGTAGCCAGGGCTGGTTGCCTGCGCTGTAGAGCCTGGGCCGCTTGACCTGGTCATGACTGGACAGGGGAGTGTAACTATTCCGGCGATGTATGAGAGTAGAGTCCTTCGGGATTTTACCCTGGTAGAAAATGAGATACCGCAGGTGTTAAACAAAAAAGATCTTTAAAAAAACAACACCAGGGGGCACCTGAAGAGGAACAGCCCAAAAAATTAATAAAAAAAATGCTGCACTCGCCAAACTGATCCAAAGCAAAAGGTAAGGAACTGCTTCCACCCACAAAACATCAATCAACAGCAAAAGCACAGCCCTGATTGCACAGGACAAAAAAACCCACCTGCTTCAACCAAAACCACGACAACACTGGACCTAAACAAGTCAGATAAAACTGCCTTCACAGAAAATTCATAATCTTAATATGAGGACAGACAGTAGAGTAATGACACAGATTAGATCATCCAAGCAAAATAAGCATGCTCAGCAATGTCTTCCTTCAAGGTAAAATATCACTTAACATTCACAGGCTCATAGAGCAAGCCAAGCTGAGGAATTAAGGCTAAAGGTAAAAGTGGTTACAAGACAAGGATATAAGGAAAGGAGGCAAGGAAGCAAAGCCTAATATATACAGGGGGTAAGGTGTGATTGTGCCAAATGAACAGACACAACAAACAACAGCGCATCTTAAAATTATATGCTGAGATTCAGTGACCAATTTAGTGTGAGTAAACAATATGCATATTTTACAAATGATCAACTTTAAACATTCAATGGAACAGTGATGTTCGCCTACTTGTGCAGCTATGTGATTTTCTTTTCCGCTCATTTCAGAGCAACTTACAAGAGGCCGGTCTCGGTGCGTGTTTACTGCCTCCACATTCAGATAAAACATTTCCACTTTACAACCTACAAGATAATAGACAATACATTTACATTATCTTCTCACGTTGCCTTATGTTGTTACAGTGTAGCGATCATCAGGTAAAGACTTACCGTATGCAACAGGGGTGAGCTTGAGAATTGTGTGCAGTGGACATTTCATGTATGGAAGATCCTCTGTGAAATGAAATAAATAGCATA